AGTTGGACCGGCAGATCTGCGGGTGACAAACGTCATAAACAATATCGACGTCCGATTCACGTCATATCAATCAGTATGGTCATATAACTCACAAGGAGAAATAACGATGTATTTACATAGTAATATACTTTTCCTAAACTTTCACAAGGGATATTAACTATATGATACTCAGTATATACTATAAGGTTAGATAAACTGAAGTCTGGTAGACAGGGAAGTGTGACTTCCGCCTCTTCCTGTTCCTTGTTTGGTTGTGGGCTTAGGCAGAGTCACCATTCAACTGTCTGTTCGATCTCGGTTATATACAACTCATATGTATTAAGTGATCATAGGAGGGTAGTATCGCCGTATCAGGTTTTTAGGGTAAACAAGTCTTTATTCAGTTTAACTTATCAACTAAACTAGATATCATTAAAGTAAGTATATTGATTATACTTGTGCTTTTCGATCTTGGAACAACATAGACTACCAGTTGGTTTTATAGAAAATATAGGATTTTCTATGGTAAACATCGTTCTTTTAAGGTAAACAATTTTCGATAGAACTTTCTGAAAACAATAACATTTATTACCGAAAACAATGTTTCACAATAGAGTTAGTGAAACTAGAAACTTATCTATAAAAGGTGTAATACGTATTATTAAACTAGTTTAACATAAAGGACCTTAAATGGTTAATTCTATAATTCTTTAGTTTATACATCAGAGTTATATATAATTAATATCCGATAAGCAGTGGAATGTGTGACTTCCGCCTTACTTCATGTTCCTTGTTTGGTTGTGGGATTAGGGCAGATTCACATATTTAACCGTCCGTTCGATATTAGATTATATATAGCTAGTATAAACTAAGTGATTATAAAAAGAACTATTGTGGTTACCATTTTTACTAAAGAAAATATATGATTTTCTTAAGGAATATTTTCATCAAATATAAAAGAACTATTACAGTTAACTCCGTAAGCACCTGGTAAATACGTTAGGATTATATACAATAAGGATCTAACAAACAATGAGATGTGTGACTTCCGCCTCAGTTCCTGTTCCTTGTTTGGTTGTGGGCTTAGGGCAGATTCACACAATCGATTGTCTGTTTGATCTGGATTGTATATAACTTGTATTCGTTATGTACTCATAGAAGGAATTGTAAGAGTCATTTTCACTTGTCATTCATCACATCAGAAAATATAGGATTTTCTGGAGGAACATACGAACTTTTCCAAGGAACTTAGAGTACACTTTTTATAACAAAAATACTTATGAACTCACCAGCTTAAATGTTGATCCTCTCTTTCAAAATAACTTGTATTCTCAGGAATCCTGTAGACAGGTATACTTCCGGAGCTTTTGAGAAGACAACCTAGTACCGTGCTGTGTCTTTTTTCGTTTACTATATCTACTTTTGATGTTTGAATATGTAATGTTTAAACACTTATGTAAAAACTTATACCTTATTAATGCAATGGTTGTTGTACTTTGATTACTATAATGCATGTGTTGTGATACTTGACATGAAGTCCTCCGCCCCCGAACGTTTCCGCCGTTCTGGTTTGGGGGTGTGACAGTTATCCATGCATGGCTTGAGTCGATCTAGATTTGAGCTCTGGAGCTCTGGATTTTAGGGTTAAGAGCTTATTAGAATAAGTTGTCTGGGACGTAAACCACGACACAGTGAATGGCTCGTCGCGAGACCCTGTCACGACTGTTTTGTCATCTAGTGACCATAACGCCGTCAAGGGGCTGGTTGTGGCGTGGTGGTCGGTGTAGGTTGACCGTTGAATTTTTGACCAGTTTGAGTTTTAGTCAACTTTGGGAGTTTGAGTATAAGACTGAGGTTTGACCTCTGTTTGGATTAGGTAGAGTACGTAGCTGACTCTTGTCACTATACTGTAGGACACTGGGTGTCATGATATGCTTATTGTCTTTGTGACTCTTGCTTGAATGCTTATGTGCTTGTTGGGCTGGGCCTGTTGGGTTAGATCCTATGGGCTAGGCTCACATGATTCAAACATAATTGTTGTGCTAGGCTCGTTAATTGTATGGTATGGGGTATTTTGGGGAACTCACTAAGCTTTATGTTTATGGTTTTAAGTTTAAATGTTTCAGGTACTTCTGGTATTAAATGGAAGGATACGATGTGATTGCATCGCATCAACACAATTTGAGATATTCCGTACTTATGGTTTTATGACTCTGATTTATGTTATCGAAATGATTTTAGATATTATTTTTATCACTGAATTACATGATTTACTTTGTTTTAAAAACAAAATTTTGATTGAAAATTTGAGACGTTACACATATATTTTACTACAGTATGCAAAAGGCAGTTGTAAAATATGTGTTTGTGTGTAGTTTCGAGGACATATAACATATATCCTTTGATATATCGGATTATAAATAAAAATATAATTTTTTTTGCAAAAATAATGTAAAAGAAAGTTTTAGTTGACTCGAATGCGAACGTGTGAATATAAAAATCATTAAAATCTGAATTTGTATAAAAAATTATGGTTGTCCGAAGTTGAAGCGAATTAATGATGTACGTGACGCGGTTGCACGTAAAGTTCCGAAAAACAAAATCAAAGACAAAACCATGAATATTGGAATTTCAAGATATCAAGTGAATATATGTAAATGGTAAAATGGATATTGATTTTCTTTTAATACATATTACTTATCAATTAATTTTGGAAAAGATATTCCTTTCATTTTGATAACGATGATGTATGTTGCCATGTACATATTTTCAAAAATATATTCTTTAAACCTTAATAATGGTGATACGTTTCCAATGTACTTTGCAATATTCGTTTCTCTTTATAAATTTGATTTGAAATTTATTTAAACAATTGCATAAAGGTTATCTATTTATTGTTATCAAAAATCATATTGATTATTACTTATATTCTTTTTATGGTTACCTAAAACATATGACAACATTTAATTTGTTTTGATATAACAAATATAAATAAACTTTATGCTAATTTTCAATATTCATATTTAGTAAAATATTTCTTTCAATTACTACTTAGTTTATTATTATTATATGTAAATATTATTATTATTATATTTAGTAAAATAAATCGAACAAGTATACAATTGTATTTATAGATGATTAGTAACATTATTATTGTTTAACATGTAATTCCTTGAGTTATTTAAAATATTATAAGGTATCCATGAACCAAAAACATATCGGTTTAACATCATTGGTTTGTTAAAAATGTTTAATTGTAGGTTAAGAAAAAATAACTTCATATAACATAAGGGGGGACGTACGTAGTCGTGAACGGGATGTAGATGAGGTTAGGGCAGTACCGCGGTTTGGCATAATATCGTCGCCGACGGGTTTCGCGGGTTGGAGGAATAAAAGCTCTGCAGCAGGTTGGTGAACCCGTCTCACCAGGGGCGGAGTCAATAGGGGGACTAGCAAGTGCGCTGCCCCCCCCCCCCCCTCCCCCTAATGCTCTTTTATTTTGCTTATATTAATTCTATTGTATACTATTACTTTCTTACTAATAAACCCCATTTAATTGCTTAAGCCCAAAAGAAATGCATCATAAGACCAACAGCCCATTCTATAGCCTAATTATGTATCGTGCAATTACAATTTACCTATACAGTAACAAATACAATTGCATACCTACGGGCAATTACAAATCATCATCAAAGAGACTACTTCAATTGAATTTATCGACATTCTCTTTTACCCACTTCAATTTCAAGAGAAGATAATATCCAATTCTTATTAGTTATTACATATTTAAGTTTTTTGAAATTTATGATTAATACTTTTGTTGAACAATATAATTTGCATTTAATAATAATATTCGGATTGAATTTTTAATTCTTATAATCATAGGGTAAATCATGAGCAATCATTGTTTCAAACGAAAAAAGATGCTCATGACCTACGACCACATCTTGTTAGTAATAATATTAGTATAGATGTTTATAATACATGTCTATAACCTTAAAAAAAAGTAATATGAAAAAGCCGATTAATGTTGAATCTGAAAAAATGACATTTCAAATTTATAAGAGTTAAATTTAGATTCTTTGATTCTTCATCCCATAGATGGAAAAAAGTGAATTATATATATATATATATATATATATATATATATATATATATATATAAAGCCCCCTTTATCCAAAATTTCTGGCTCCGCCCCTGCGTCTCACTCTCTTCTTTTCTTCACACACACATACATATATATATATATATATATATATATATATATATATTATATATATAGATTTGTATGTTTTCAATTATTAAAAATAATGATGTGACAATGCATTGAGAAAAATAAGGTTTCTATATGTTGTGAGTTGTGAAAGATGGAAGAAATATGAAATATAAAAACTAATATGAAACTGAAGTACCATAAAATACCAGTGAGTTGAGTGGATCGAAAGAGAAAGACTCTATCCTCTCTAAGTGAAATTCTAACATATACATAAAATATATACCATTCATAGTGTGATTTTTATTTCGTCTTAGTAAATTGAAAGTTGATATGTTTAAAATTAGTTTTAGTATAAGTACATTTTGATATTAAAAAAATTTAATCGATAGTTGAGTATCTATATTATTGATGGAATCATAAATTGTAATATTATTAAATAATATACATAGATCCATTTTATAAAAAATGGAGAAAAGTCTCCACAAACCACCGGATTGGTCGGTGTCCACGGCACGTTGAACGTTTTTTAATATATAACCTTGTCATGTGTAATGTGATTTGTGGAAGATTAGTGATTTTTTTGCTTAAAGTAATCATCTTAAAACAGAGTATTTATTTTTTTAAAATATAAAAATATAAAAATCAGTAACGGTAACTCTTTTTCTCTGTAACTAGACTATATATCCAATCCACGCCAAAATGATCAGAAAATACACACCATCCACACGAAAGTGTAGTTGAACACCCTACCTATAAATAAGCAAATACACCATACATACGAAAAGTACGTAGGCGAACTACCGCCATGGAAGGGCTCTACAAAACAGTTCCTCAACACACGTATAGTTGGTCGCAAGGCAAAGCGACCTTCTACAAGTATCAAGGCTTCTGGAACGTTCAAAATTTCCCTGAAAAAACAATTTTGGCTCAAAGCTATCAGGCACAACCAAGTGACATACTATTGTGCAGTTGCCCCAAAACTGGCACAACTTGGCTGAAGGCCTTGAGTTTTGCCATTTTAACCCGTGAAAAGTTTGATCATGCATCAGCCAGCCCTTTGCTAACAACCTTGCCTCATGATTGCGTCCTGTTTCTAGAGAACCACCTTGCAAAAATCAAAGAAAACCCCTCGGACCTCCCCCTCCTGGCTACGCACCTTCCATATTCTTCTTTGCCAAAATCAGTCATAGCTTCAAACTGCAAGATTGTTTATATATACAGGAACATAAAAGACGTCCTAGTTTCCTACTATCATTTCGTTCGAGAACTAGTAAACTTGTCTGTTGAAGATGCGCCATTTGAGGAGGCGTTTGACGATTTTTGTCAAGGCATTTCATCTTTTGGACCATACTGGGATCATATCCTGGAATACTGGAAAGCAAGCCAGGAAAGGCCAGACAGATTTCTTTTCTTGAAATATGAGGATTTGAAAAAGGATGCTTCATGCAATGTGAAACAGCTTGCCGAGTTTTTAGGATGTCCTTTCTCGGTTGAAGAAGAGAAAGCAGGCGTGCTCGAAAACATTATAAATCTGTGCAGTTTTGATAGTCTGAGCAACTTAGAAGTGAATAAAAGCGGGACGTATCAAGCGGATGAAGTTTCTGGTGTAGAACACCGACTCTTTTTCAGGAAGGCCAAGGATGGAGATTGGGAAAACTACTTCACAGATGAGATGAAAGAAAAGATCGACAAACTGATTGATGAAAAAATGAGTGGAACTGGTTTAGTTCTGAAATGATGAGGAGCTAGAGCCTCAAGATCACTCCGTATGCCTGTGCTTTATTTTAGTCTATCTTTGAAATTGCTTGGTTTTCGATAATTGATAACTTTTATGTTGATCATCTGTTTGGATGGATACTTTTATTTTTCATTATTTGATGTTCTCTCTTTCAGATTCAAATGATCTTGTGATGTTTCGATTAATGATATATCTCTGTGCTTCCAGTACAATCTTGTTAAATTCTAGTACAAAAAATAAATGAGAACAGAAGAATTGGTTCTAAAAAAAAGTTTGTTAAAATCGACGAAGATGATTTGGTAATATAATAATGTGTATAACACAAACTTGTATTCAATGTGGGTTATAGGCTGGATGTACTTGGATCAGTTCACTTGAGACTTAGCCTAAAGTTACAAAAAGTCAAAAATAAATATATTAAAAAAACAGTAAAATACAGTTAAAAAACTGAAAGTTTAAAAAAATAATAATTCAAAACTACAACTATTTGATAAATATTTTTAAAATTATAACTATTTGGTAAAAAAAAAATTTCAAGATCACCATTTTGGTTAAAAACTATACTCTCATGCACGATGCAATAGGTTATCTGATTGGGTCTAGCCCCTGCACTTGTTTGTATGTGTTCTTCTCTTACCCTACTTTTTTATTGCATATTTCTTATATCAATAAAACAAAATATTTGTTTTTGTTTTTTGTTTTTTTTTTTTTATTATTATTTTTTTTCTATAATCAATCAAATAAATTTTTTTGTTGTCTCCCCATCAATCAGTGAAACACCTTTTATTATTTTAGATTTTTTAATAATATTAATTTGTTTATAAATTATATGATATTTTACATTTTGTATCTATTAATCTTTAAAATCACATCAATTAATAGTTCTTCTTACTAAACAGATGTTTATAATCTTGATGAATTATTTTGATAGTGAAGTCAACAATGTAGTGGGTTATGAGCAATAAAAGTTATGTTTAGCTATAGGAAAAATGATAGCTCATCGAGTGACATGGTCCGAATGATGATCAGGCTTTTTTAGTGACAAATATGAAGGATGTGGAGAGGACCGCACATGTAAATGACCCAATTAAACTAAACTAAACTCTTTAAGTTGTTTTATTGGTGTTCTTGATGTAATGGAACTCATAAAGTTAACAATGTCAAAATTGTGGTAAATCATAATGGCTCTATGTTGAAAACATTTTTTTTTTCTTCAGGTTTGAGATTGCAATGTATTACTTACGCAGGCTATGTGCAGATGACGAAGGTCCAAGATGCTACTATATTTTGCTTGCCTTGAGGATATGAGTTCTATTTATGTGATTTTTTGCTCATGATCAACTTGTTATCTCTCAATATTATGTTCTGAAGCTATCTTTTAGTTCATTTTGGATAATCATGACAGCTGATCTAATCATCTTTTTTCTTCCTAACAGGCCAAGATGCTTTGGTCAAAGCCACAGCTGGAACAGGAAAAGTGCTGCTTTTTTGTATATACTAAAATCACCTTTCTTGTCTACATCCAACTATGAAAGTCAAGGTTTGTTGTCCAACTCTTATATATATATATATATATATATATATATATATATATATATATATATATATATATATATATATATATATATATTATTTTTGACTTAATTATACAGAAAAATGGATTTAATAGAGAAAGTAGAAATTAAGTTAACTTTTTACAAATTTGAGTGGCAGAATGAGAAGTCAATGAAGAAAGTTGACTTAATTATTCACCGCACACCAATGGGTGCGGTGTTCCTCGCGCCCACACCAGTCGCTAGATTGTTGCAACTTATTGTTGCATATTTTGAGGGGAGTGATATGTCGAACAATTTGACTTAAACAATCATACATCCATTTTCGATGTCAATTGCAACTCAAATGCGAAATCGATTCTAACCTCAAGACTATCGACTCCAAATCAACACCAGATGCGAATGAAGACCAATTCAAACTCCAAGTCTTCAACTCCAAATCGAATTAGTCGAACAACAACAATCGATCTCTATTTCGACTCCAAGTAAAAGCTTTCGATGTCGACTTAAAAATCAAATGTTCCCAATTCGTTTCCAATATTCCATCTGTTGTCTTCCTTAGTTCAATGTTCGGTACATAACCAAGACCACCATATGTCGAAATTGCAAAGCACACATCGAAACACAATTTGCAATTTCGACTCCAAGAACACTAACAATCTAAATCAATTTCAACATTAGTTCGACTCCAAGAGATTCCATTCGACTTTCAAGTGATTCAAACCAAATACGACTCCAGTCAAATATTGAAATCGTTTCTAAATTCATCAAGATCCCGATTTTGACTTCTGGCATTGACTCCAAACAAGTACAATCGAACTTGATTTCAAGTTGATCGTTCATCTTCGATCTCGATCTCAATATGAATTTTTTGGAATCCATTTGAGAATTTGACCTTCTTGATGATTCTTTTTCCGTTTACAACTCATGAATCAATCGATGTTGGTTAACAAGAAAATCTTCAATCTTCACATTGTACCACCTATGATGTATGTTGTACGACCAGTTTTTTTTTTGTATTTTTCAATGATCTAGCATCATTTTCATAAGAATCGTCAACAACTTTGGGTTTTAAATTCAAATTCATTGCAACACTTGATTGTTGCTTTGGAACCTAAATTTTCTTCATAGATTTCGGATTCATAACAACTTTCGAAGATTTTTGTTTAGAAACTCAATTGTTTTTGTTTTTGATCTTCTTCTTTTTCTTCATTTTCATCATTTTCATCATTTTGGATCTTGAAGATTTGAATTCAAAAACAACTTAATTCTTAACAACTTCAAATTTTCAAGTTTGAATCAAATCTTTTGAAGTTTGATACATTTGAACTTCTTGGACCGAATGATTTCGATAAGGCACCATTTCTTCAAACGAATCACAAGAATTCACGTATTCATCGGTTTGAATTCCAACTGAACGAAAAACATTCAAATCTTCATCAAAATCACAATGAATTCCCATTTCTTGAAATTCAACAAACTTAAGAACATGAAGATTATTTGAGTCTTCAATAAGAAAAACATATTCCTTATCGAATAATTCTCTTTCTTTTCCTTCCTTTTGATTGACACTCCAAGATAATATAATCATAGAAATTTGAATCAAACAATCAATCGTATTAAGAGGTTGAAATATCAACTTTCCTTGATCATCTTTCAATCCTCCATAAGAAATCAAAGTTTCCCATGAAATCAATCCGTCTTTCAACAATAACTCATAAAATTGTATCTCATTAACTTTGTATTTGACATCTTTATTCATCACGATCCAAGAATCATAAGCCAAATACACCATGATCACAAGAACTTGGATATTTCTAGAGAGAGAAAGTGAATATGAATGAAATCTCTAGAGAGAGTGTGTGAATATGAATGAAATCTCTAGAAAAAGAAAGTGAATATTAACCAAGTTCTAGAGAGAGAACGTGAAATAAACAAGTATTCTAGAGAGGGAAAATCAAATTTTAAATCAAATCAAGAAATAAATTTGATTTCTAGAACAAAAACTCTCTCAAAGATGAAGAACTCATAACAATGAAGATTCACTCAAATCATGTTGTCATCATGGATCAATTCTTGAGAACTTCAAGAACACCCTCTCTCATACCAATTGTAGTAACCCTAATTGTCATCATGGATCAATTCTTGAGAGCTTCAAGAACACCTGCTCTGATACCAATTGTAGTGACCCTAATTATAATGACATGTACGGAATTGTAAATATCTAGTGAATCATACAATATCAAGAACACCAAGAGTAAATAAAATCATTTTAAGCTCAATTAGAATAGTAAGAGTACAAGTGAGTTTTGAATATTCTTTTACTAAACTAGCACCCTATTTATAGGAAAGACTCAATCCATTTACGCATACAAGAGGATAAACCACATCCAATGAGAACTTTGCACCCTAACACTATGGCGGACATAGGGGGTTCCTGGGGTGGCCACTACAATCCATTAAATTTTTCGGCGTGCCACCCTTAAAATCATGTGTGCTATCCCTGAGATTGTCTTGCGTTTGCCACTGCATATAGAGCTAATGTCATAAAAGCCCTTAAGTTTTAACGAAATATTCGATTTTACCATTTTATGTATTTTGGGTTCTATAAAGCCTGGAATTTGCATTATTATTATTATTATTATTATTATTACTATTATTATTATTATTATTTGCATTTGCATTTCTACCCTTTTAACTGGTTACCAGGTTGGTAACCGGTCACCTACATATGTGGCATGCCACATAGGCGCTTTATGGGTTGATGTAGCGCCACTTGGACGATGAGGTGGCATACACTTATTTTAAAAATGAAGGCTATAGGAAGATAAAAACGACAACATCGTGAATCAAACTCGACACCTTCTACTAGAAGCCTGAAATTTATGAATTTTTTTTTTTTGGTTTTTTGCATTTCTACTTTTTTATCCGGTTACCAGGTTGGTAACCGGTCACCTACATATGTGGCATGCCACATAGGCACTTTATGGGCTGATGTAGCACCACTTAGGCGATAAAGTGACATACACTTATTTTAAAAATGAAGGATACAGGAAAATAACAACTCGAACTCAACACCTCCCACTCGAAACCTCAACCTCGAAAACGCATACGCCTTACCACTTGGCTGGAAAGTTTTTTGTGATAATTACCCTAAATTATTTCATATAACATATAACCACCAGAGAAGTCGATTCCCCCTCCTCACGACCGTATAACCCTCATCAAGCCACTGTCGTTGGCTTCCTGTTTCCGATCTTGCTCTTTTCTTAGATCTATCTTTGAACCGCTCTTTCTTCCTGTGGATTGTGACCATCGACGGCGTGAGAGAAACCTTGGAGGCTCGCCGGGATTTGGCCCATTTTCCTCTGCTGCACTGTTTGCCTGTTCCATGTCCCGATCAATTATGGATGGAGACATGGTCCCTGTGATCATGAAAAGACGAAAATGCCCTTTAGTTAACGGACAAACTTAACTGAGTTAGTAATAAGGACCATTTGTCAAAAGTTTTGTAAGCACAGGGACCATCTCTGAGGTTTTTAAACCACGGGGACTAAACTTCAGATTTTGGGAAACCACAGGGACCATTTATGATGTTTTTTCTTATTATTATTATTATATATCTAATAAAGTTGTGCACCCATTAGGAACAGTAAAGTTCCTAAGGGGTTGACAGAAATGGCCCTCTGTTTATATATGTATGTTCAAATCTGTCTTTGGGTCGTTTTATGTCGATACTCATATTTTGTGTGGACACGTGTTGCGAATAGTTCCGGTCTCCCGGTCAATTTATCCCTACACCCGTAGGTTAATCGATCTTCCAGTTTCTTCCTTCCACCGCTTCTTATCCAACCGGTCACTCTGCTTGTCTGGATGCTTCCCACCGCCTCTCCAAAACCCTTCATCTGTATCTGTACTGATTCACATCCGTTCTATCACTAATCCACTAGTACAAAAATGACCTACGGACACACCATAAAAGTGTGACCATATGCATATAGTGACATTTTATTTTTCACTGAAAGTGTGACGGAAGGTGACGCCATCATATGGCTCTTATGGTCACTTTAAAATGTAATGTCCGTATGATATGAAAAAATGTGGTCGTATTATAAAAGTGTGGCTATTGGGTAGGGAATTTTGTTGCTAAAATCAATCATTTTATCTAATATTGTGGCGTTAAACCGTCAGTAGACACATTTTTTAGTAATTGTAGTGACCGTTTATCACCAACGACAACATACATTTTGTTTTAATGTGGCGTTTTGCTAATAAATTGTCACACAATTCAAAGTTTATTAACACTATTTGGTACCTTTTGTAGACATGCAATTACGGTGAACATGACCATGTTCACTAAATGGCCACGAATAATTAATTTCATAAGTGACAATATGCAGATAATTAGTCACAAAAAAAATATTTGATTGTAACTATTGCCCATACAACTGCCACATGAGTTTATTGTTAGTGTGGTCGTACCTATTATTTAGTGACTTGAAAGATTGTTTATTGAGTTTTTAGTCACGTTAATTTAATAAAAATATGGTAAAACTATTGTTGTAATCAAGCATTTTGTCCAAAAATTGTGACTATAAACTCTTTATAGACGCACATACATTTTTTTATAGTGACCGTTGTTCATCTAACAACCACGTGAATTTTTTGTTAGTGAGATACTTTCAATTATTTAGTTACACATAATAAATTAAACCATGACATAACACTACTCATAGTCACAATAAATTTTTTATCACGACTATTGTTACTTGTAGTCACACATAATATAATTAAATTATCACTATTAAGTGTTTATAATCATTGTTTTTTTCTTTTATCAATATTATTATTATTTTTAGTCACACGCTTATATTTTAAAATGAAAATATACAATACAATGTAAACAAAAAACAATTTTTTACTAATAATAATTCAAAATTCTTACAACAAAACAAATCCAAAATTATAAATAAATAAATAAATAAACTAAAAAATATACACAAATGTTAAACCTAAAAATAAAACTTCTATATTGTTTTCTTAATAACATTGATCCTTAGCTTGCTTTATCGGATATATATTTGTTGCCTTCGTCATTTCATTAAAAACTCAATCCACAATTGCAAACCTTCTATTGCCAAAGCTCATTCACCCAAGATTTGGTGTGTCATTTCCTGACATGACCACCATACCAGATTCCATAATGAATTTCAAAAACATACAAAATAAGAACCTACAATTAAGAACTAACTGTTAGCCACTTTTACACGATTCCTTTCACCAACAATGTCATAACTGCATAGACAAACTTAATATAATAGCACTCATTATACTTTTATCACCATGGAATGAAGATTAACATATAAAATAAAATCATGGGTACTCACTTTTCACAAAAGAGAACCTGAAAGAGATAGCATAACAATCATGATCATGGATAATAAGTGGTTTAAAACATTTTATTCATGAGAACCAAAACTAATTGAAGTGGTAGGCATAAATATTCGGAAAAAATTGGCAACAAAATTCAAGACATAAACCAAAAGACGGATGGTTTCAGAAAACGGTCAATCAACATCTTCTATTCAGTAAAAGAATGCAATATCCACAACCAATGGGAAGGGGTGACAAACTTATTCAGAAAATGGAGCTCACAGTATAATGTAAGTTAACAGCTAGGTGAACTGCAATTCCTCTCCACAACATCAAGTCGTTATCTCTATTAATTCCAAATGAAGCAATTTAATGTAGTTTGAAGAGTATAATATCAAGTGGTAAGTTATTAACCTTTAAATTTGTAACTTGATGGGGGCAAGCAATAGGTATAAAGACAACATCTCCAAGCTTTTTAACAAAACTCCATTCTTCAACTCCTAATGGGAACAAAAAATAAGCACAATCAAAACTTTTATATCAGTAAAAGTTGATACACGCTTTGCAAATGCTTACTGACCAAACTATTCCTTAAGCTTCCTTTTATGCTCCATGATTAAGAAGAATGTTTGGTTGAATTAGATGAATAACCTGGAACAAAAAATTAGAATGGAACAATTTAAAATGTTACTATTTAAGATTGTGATGTTATACATATAAAGAGCTTCTGATAGAAGACTATGTTTTCACCTGTAATTAATTAGCATCTCCAACCAATTGCACAACTTTAATAATTTATAATAAATCAATTGAAATCAATTGAAGTTAATGAACTGATAGTGATAACATTCTGTCAACCGAATGCATTCAGCAAAAATGGAGAACTTAACTTACTTACAGGGGATAAGAGGTATCTTGTGGTGGGTGTGTGTAGGTAGCCTATGGTGGTGACGAGTAAGTTCAAAGGGGATAAGAGGTAGAGACAAACAGAAAAACCAAGAAGCTAAGAATCAGATATATATTTCAGTTATTAACTTACTTACAGGGAAAGATGGAAGCCGATGGCGTAAGTCTTGAGGCAGAAGTCACAATGTTGAATCTGACCGGTGGTTTGAAGGCTCGACGATGTCGTCGCTGTGGAAAGGGGATAAGAGGTATCTTGTGGTGGGTGTGATGTAGACCGATATCAATAAAGAATTAGTCGAAATGAGAATCAAATAAGAAAATAAAAACATTGATACCATATAGAGGCATACCTGGTGGGACAGAGATGCTCGATAATAACGGCGACGACATATGGCAACAACGACACGATCAACAACCGGAAGCGGTGAAGGAACTTGATGGCCTCGATTGGAAATTATCAATTTATGAATCATATCGATTTCCCTTTTCCTAGTATTGTCATATGATTCTCGATCTAATAAAGTATTCACATACCCTAATGTCGACGTCTCCATTATGGGATTGAGAGATAATTGATCTATATCGGTTCTTACTCAGAAACCATGATGGTTGAATGTTAGCGTCGTCCACCACCAGCAGTCCAAATCTTGAATCTGACCTTCGGTTGAAGGCTCGACGATGTCATCGCCGTGAAAAAGGGGTAACTGGTATCTTTTGTGCTGTGCGTGCGATGGAGATAAAAAGAATAGATTATGGATAAAGGTTTTTTTGTTTTGGGATTAATTCGATCGTATCGGGTTTGGGGGGAAACCAGATGTCTCAAAATTGGAATAAATTGGAATGGGAGGGAATTAAATATGTAAATTAGGTTGGAAAAAGTTTTTTTTTTTTTAGTTTTTACTATAAAATATTTTAATTAAAATTTATAGAGATTATTATTATATGGATGCTAGTTTTATAAAAGAAAATTCTTTAATAATTTTAAAATTTTAAAAATAAAAATGTATTGACGTCTACCAAAATTACCTTATTTATAATGATAATAATTTACATATAGATTCGCAACAATATTCATTTTTTTAAAACACAGTATTCATTTTTTAATAATATATAAAATAATACATATATATTTGGTGTTATTAAAGAAGTCACATCCTATGTGGATGGGTCGCGATTGTATATGGACATGGATGTTAGAGTGGCGTGGAGTAGGTGTGTAGGTGGATGAGTAAGGATGTGTGGGTAGGGTGTGTGGTGTGAAGGTGGATGTGGATGTGGGTGGGTTTAGGTTAAACATATAGGTAGGCGTGGGAGTATAGTTAAGTGGATATGTGGGGGTATGGGGTGTGGATGTAGGGTGAGGTAGGTGTAGGTTTGTGGGAATAGGCTTTAAGACATGAGCTATAAAGCACTGAACATAAGTTCTAAGCCTAGAGCCATAAGTCAGGTGGGGAAGTAGTAGGTGTATGGGGTATGGTGATCATGTTGGTGTGGGGTATGTATGTATATGTGTAGGTCGTGTAGGTTATATGGAGTGAGAGTGGGTGGGCATATGAGTATGATTGTAGATGTGGGGTGAGGTGGGTGCTATAAGTCTTGGTGGGTATGGGGTGTGGGGTAGGGTAGGTATCAACATGGGTTTGTGGGAATGGGCCTTAAGCATTAAACATTAAGCCATAAGTTATAAGTCATATACCCAAAGTGTTAAGCCTTAAACCATAATATGTATGACTTAAGCTCTAAGTAGTTAGCAATAAGCCCTAAGCCTTAAGCCCTAAACTATAAGACGTAAGCCCTAATCTTTAAATCATAGGCCCAATGCCTTAATCCTTAAGCCCTAGTATCCAAAGTACAACCTGTTGGGTTTTGAGCATTCTAACACTCCTATGGTGTACATGCAACCCTATGTGCTTTGGATCTATGTTTTCATTATTATACATGCAAATATTCAATATTCCAAAGCATCATCCTAACTAGCATATCATGGAGTATCTATACTACGAAATTTTAGTTGGATGACATACCTTTTGGTGTAACTTGAAGTCTTGATGTATTTGGCCTTAAGAGCTTAGCACCAATGTTATGAAATGCCTCAAATGGAATCACAACATACCTAGGACAAAGGTGGACATTTGAGAGAGAATATTCATACACCAAAACCTTCCATATGAACTCGAAGAACATAAGTGGTGATTTTGGCTATGGAGTAACCTATTTATATGTAGGATTCCAACGGGTCATGGGTATAACCCAAATCCATACCCATGGGTTTTATAATCCATGGTTCATGTGGCCCAACTCTTTATGTATCCATACATAAACTTAGTCCAACATGGATCATAAGCCCAACACATATAAATATAACTAATTACCATAATTAGTCCCCATAGATTTAATTAGCCTCTTTTGATCACTAAATTAATTCCAAATTAATTCTTGATCAATACTAATTAAAACATATGATTTCATATTAATATATTATAACTTATAATATATTAATAAATCATATATAACCTATTCTCTCAAAAGTCCATCCTAACAAATTGTCCTGATGATATGCAACCCAAATGGACCATGCTACTCTCGGATCAAGTACATACCAATTGTAGTTATGGACATAGACATCTAATCTAACAGTCACTCACTTGGATAAGTCTAATAACTATTATTGCAAGTACGACTCCAAAACCCGACTAGCAATCGTAGCTCTTAAATCCGCTGTCAAAATCTGACCTAGTCAATGACATGTCCATTAGATAAAGGATCATATATTCCTCCATTCTAAATATCATATGGACTGAGACACAGATTATAATCATTCTCTCTGTCCATATGTTGTTTCCTGATTTCTGATTTATGACGACTGACTAATTGAACAAATCAAACCAGTCTAGGCCCGGCCGAGCACTTACAGTTGTCATCACTAAATCATCGAGAGCCCCACAGATACCGCTTTTATCCCTATAAGGGTAAAAGGAATGGATAAAATTCGACTCAAATGCTCGCTTGTACTTACTCACCAAATTACACACATCAATATGTTTTATAACATCCAAGTTACTGATGTGTTTACATATGTCAATGTGCAACCGACTCGCAACTACAACTCACATGTCTCCGTTTCAAGAATATAAAATATTATCGTCTCACCAATCACTCGTGATAAAATCCATGAAGTGATTCAGATGAGCGTAGGTTTAATCCAATACTCGAATCTTATTCCAGGAGCACTCATGAATACTGTAGCTATGTCTAAAACACCTAGACAAACTTCAGACCCATTCATGACAGTCTTACCTCAATACCTACTTCCAAAGTATGATCGACTGTGGATGGTTTGAATAACCTAGTTATTCGGGAAGTAAAAACATGCAAAGTGAAACACAAGAATAATACTAATCCTATATGGTCCCACTTATAATCCTATCCCCGCAAACATCCCTTATATCCATTATGACCCACCCATATATATACCTACCTCACCATACTCCCACATATACCACTATACCCATCCTCACCTAGACTCACACAGTCTAATAATGTTTTTATTTATTAGTTGCAATTATTAGAAATATGGTTTTTAATTTATTTTTTAATTCTGTTGGATATTTCCAACATACCCCGCTCTCCAAAAATTTTGGCTACATTTTAGATTTCAAATTTCCCCCAAAATTTTACCTAAACCTATCCCCACCCGCCAATCGATCTCAGTTTCGGTCAAACCAAATCTCAGTGGATGCTCCGCATCTTCTATGTTGCATTTCTGAGTCGTCTGCAACCTGCTCCATAATTCTCTGCACCACCACCTGTCTATCGTCGCACCACTGCTCCACCAAAGCTTCACCTTACTGGAAACCCTCGCTAATCCATCTCGCCTCCATGTAACTGTAATTTTCGCTTTGTCTCTGTCGTTTTGTATTATATTGATTTTTTATTGTAGTAGTCACATGAGGAAATTTATGTTTTTGGGGTTTGCTTGTTTCTTTTGAACGATTTGATTTTTACTTCATAGGAGTTTAGCATCTAGTATCAGATACTCTGCTTTCTTTGTTTGTCGACACTGATTAACTTTAGGATTTCTAAAAGAGTTTTAGAGTCTGATATATTGATGCTTCAGAAACAACTTAAATACTGAGACTGTTTTACTCAAACCAACTTGTGCTGTAATGAAGGTAAAGGACAAAGAAAATAAATATAAAGAGTATCTCTGTAAAGGAGATTGTATCTTTTAGGTTTGACCATTTGACACAAACTGTATGTGTATATTACGATATTACTTGGTTAACACTATCAAAAATGTTTCCTTTGTTGAAATTTCCAGTCATCACACCAAACTTTTATGAACACTTCTTTGTAATGCTTGGTATCTCGATATTCTTCTATTATGGAGTCCTTGGTAATGAATGCAGAGGAGAAACGGGTTCAAACTAATCATTGTGCCCGTAGCACATCCAATGTACTACAAAGGTCTGTTTCTATTTTTATCTAACTGTCAAATCATGGAAATTCTTTTTGATTTTCATATGTTACTTAATCTATTCAATTAATAACAAAAATCAATAATTAGGGGTGCAATAGTGATATGGGGTGAAGCATTTTGACCAGGACACCTTAACACCAATGTTGTATGACAACTTGATTTTATATGGGAAATTTGTCCACTTAATTTTACTATAATGATAACCACTTTCCATAATGGATGGAATAGATGTACTATTAGAATTGTAGAAGACCTTTTTACTGCATAAATTTCTCTTATTGTCTAAGGATTAAAAAATCTCTCAAATGAGCAATACTTCAATTTCCCTGACTAGGAACATGAGCATTGTCGTTTTATTTCATAGTATTTTGACATGTATTTTCATTCTAAGGTTTCACAAGCTGTTTCTTTGACCATTGTGCTTATTTTATTTTTAAATGCACATATATTATAATTGATGGATTCATTTAGATACTATATACTATTTGCTCCTTTATCACGAGTTTATTGCAATAAAGTAATTTGGAATGTTGCTTTTATGTAGGGTTGCTTAGTGTTATTACACATGTTTATCATTAGTTGATTATGTTGTAGCGATAATATTTTCCTTCTTTTAACATATAATGATCTTTATTTTTGTTTGTAGAAGGGAAAGGCCAAACCTTGATCCTAGCTTTACGTGGAGAATAAGAAAATGACAAAAAATGACGATGTACTTTCCTTAATATCTTTTTACCATATTATACCATCAAACTTTTCTGGTGTAATATTGTTATAACACAAAGTTAATTTTTTTCAGTTTTTTTACTATAATGTTGGATGGCATGTTATAACATAAACTGCATATTATAGCAATGTACTTTCGTTATGCAATGTTAGACAAAGTTGTATTCTTTTCATTTATTTGTCATACTTTTCTGTTAAAGAAAGTTGTATTCTTTTCATTTTTTAATGGTATATGATCTGGTGCAATTAAAAGAATAGATGACAAAAGGGCAATTTGGTCATTTCTTATAGCTCTTATTCAATACAACTATATTGTTATTTATTTTTGTTTTTATTATTTTTATTATTTTTGGTTTTTTCATAAATTGTTTATGTTGATGTAACTTTACAAAATTGTCATTCAAATTTTTTTCATTAACTTATACAACCCTCTAATTGCAAAAAAAGCAATGTACTTTTGTAAAATGACATGATTGACCTTTTTGTTCGTTTTTTATTCTGCCAAATGATATCAAAGATAAAAATGGTCAAATTTACAAGTCGTCCAAAAAGTCTAAAATTGTCATTTTTTGTATAATAACTTAACCAGGAAACAATTTCAGTTTTACATCAACAAATTTTCATTTTATGAAGACTATTCTTTAAACTTACAAATACAATAGTACTACTAGAATGAACATTACATAAATATAGTAACATATTCAATAAACGACCCATAATTATACCGATAAGACATTATTATTCTTTTATAACTATATTTACATATAGACACATATAATAACTGTAATCATAACTAAATGCTACCTACACTCACAATATTTGTTTCTTCTCAAAGCCAATTCATCATGTTTTGACACACCTAATAAAAGGTACATGACCATAAATAACCAATACCAACTTGTTTTCTTGCGTTTACTAAGTACAACTAGTACAGAACTGCCCTATGGATACACAAATATTTAGTGTGACCATATGTATCACCTTTTAACTACTTTGTCTGTTATGTGTCTAAAAATTCACCAGGTTATAAACACACATACAATTGCCTCATGTCACAATACGTTTATCTATTGTCTCTTATAAAAAAGGTATGGCAATGATAATCGATACATGTGGCTAATTGTGACCTATGGCCTCAATGTTCGAGTGTGACTAATATTTGTCACATTTGGTATAATTAAGTGTGGTTAAAGTTTTGATTATCTATATAATTGCCACACAAACTAATTTAAATGTATCCAAAAACAATCTCTAAATTTTTTTAGTGACCTTTGGCCACACTTTTAATAAAAAGTGTCACAGACCGTTTTTCGGAAAGTGTGACCGTAGGTCTAGAGAGAGAGAGAGAGAGAGAGAGAGTGAATATGAATGAAATCTCTAGAGAGAGAAAGTGAATATGAACCAAGTTCTAGAGAGATAACGTGAAATTAACAAGTATTCTAGAGAGGGAAAATCAAATTTTAAATCAAATCAAGAAATAAATTCGATTTCTAGAACAAAAACTCTCTCAAAGATGAAGAACTCATAACAATGAAGATTCACTCAAATCATGTTGTCATCATGGATCAATTCTTGATAACTTCAAGAACACCCTCTCTGATACCAATTGTAGTGACCCTAATTGTCATCATGGATCAATTCTTGAGAGCTTCAAGAACACCTGCTCTGATACCAATTGTAGTGACCCTAATTATAATGACATGTACGGAATTGTAAAGATCTAGTGAATCATACAAATATCAAGAACACCAAGAGTAAATAAAATCATTTTAAGCTCACTTAGAATAGTAAGAGTACAAGTGAGTTTTGAATATTCTCTTACTAAACTAGCACTCACAAATGGGTCTTACATAATGGGAGTCACTCACTTCCTATTTATAAGAAAGACTCAACCCATTTACACATACAAGAGGATAAACCACATCCAAAGAGAACTTTGGACCCTAACATCATGGCGGACATAGGGGGTTCCTGGGGTGGCCACTACAATCCATTAAATTTTCCGGCGTGACACCCTTAAAATCATGTGTGCTATCCCTGAGATTTTGTCTTGCGTTTGCCACGTCATATAGAGCTAATGTCATAAAAACTCTTAAGTTTTAACGAAATATTCGATTTTACCCTTTTACGTATTTTGGGTTCAATAAAGCCTGGAATTTGCATTATTATTATTATTATTATTATTATTATTATTAGCATTTGCAATTCTACCCTTTTAACTGGTTACCAGGTTGGTAACCGGTTACCTACATATGTGGCATGCCACATAGGCGCTTTATGGGTTGATGTAGCGCCACTTGGACGATGAGGTGGCATACACTTATTTTAAAAATGAAGGCTATAGGAAGATAAAAACGACAACATCGTGAATCAAACTCGACACCTTCTACTAGAAGCCTGAAATTTATGATTTTATTATTATTATTTTTTTTTTTTTTTTGCATTTCTACCTTTTTATCCGGTTACCAGGTTGGTAACCGGCCACCTACATATGTGGCATGCCACATAGGCACTTTATGGGCTGATGTAGCACCACTTAGGCGATGAAGTGACATACACTTATTTTAAAAATGAAGGATACAGGAAAATAACAACTCGAACTCAACACCTTCTACTCGAAACCTCAACCTCGAAAACGCATACGCCTTACCACTTGGCTGGAAAGTTTTTTGTGATAATTACCCTAAATTATTTCATATAACATATAACCGATTATTATTATTGTCATTATATATATATATATATATATATATATATATATATATATATATATATATATATATATATTAAAGTTGTGGAAGAAAGGAATAGTGAAGTTGACATACTTTGTCCAGGTTTGGTCCCTTGATTTACATATCCGGTCCCTGTACTTCTTTAATTAATTTATTCATGTCCTTTTGTTTGTGTTCCATTCAACTTCCCATTTTTTTGGCAGAATTGGTCCCTGTATTATTGTTGGAAGTTAGGAATACTAAATTTGGATGTTTTTTTGGCAACTTTGCTCATTATTATTTACCCATTTTGACACTTTTGGTCCTTGCAATCAATATTTTTACACTTTTTTGGAACCTTTTAATATTTAAAGTTTGGCCACAAAACTTTAACGGTTTGACAACTTTGATCCATTTTCTAAAAAGTTGCTAATTCCTACTCCTTTAATTCTTTAGCCATTTTCACACTTCTGGTCCTTGCAGTCAAAACTTTTACATTTTTTGTTCGGGGCAAAGCCCGGACTTTTCATCCTTGCACTTTCTATGTCTGTCATATTTATCAATTCGGAAACAACATTGAAAGCTTCTGGCCCCCGCGTAGCGGGGTAACCTTTCTAGTATATATTAAAGTTGTGCACCCATTAGGAACAGTAAAGTCAGAAATGACCCTCTGTTTATTTATGTATGTTCAAATCTGTCTTTGGGTCGTTTTATGTCGATACTCATGTTTTGTGTGGACACGTGTTGCAAATAGTTCCGGTCTCCCGATAATTTTATCCCTACACCCGTAGGTTAATTGGTCTTCCATTCCACCGCTTCTTATCCAACCGGTCACTCTGCTTGTCTGGATTAGGGATGCAAACGGGGGCGGATTTTGGCGGAGACTACAATATCCGTCCCCGTACCCGACCTCCGATCCCAGACCCATCCCCGCCCCTGCCCCGCTAAATGTCCAACGGGTTCGGGTGAAAAAATCCCCAACGGGTACGGGGAACCCAACGGATAGCCGTGTTTTAAAAAAAATCACAAACAATTATAACATCAATTACACTTCATTCTCAAAAGCATTAAATTAAAAAAATTATCATGACATTCTTAAGTTTGTTGATAAACTTAAATAACAACGAATTAAAAAAAAAAGAATCATGACATTCTTAACTTTGTTGACGAACTAAAATAGAAACTACAAGTATAAATAATTAAATATCAATATATTGCTTCCAAAACATTGTAGCAGCAACATATGAACTTTCTTGTAGTGTCTGTTAGTCAAGAAATCAAATTATTGCATAAAAAATCATCAGTTCAATCATTGGAAAACTAAAATTGTTCCTCTATATTAAAAGTCATAAATAACTTGATTTAAGTTTCTTAAACAAGGTGAAATACTACGACGGTTCAGTACACTAAATTCTTGTAAATCGTAAGTTCCATTAAATACTAATTAACGAAAACTGATTTTTGAAATATTATATATATATATATATATATATATATATATATATATATATATATATATCGGGTTTTAAACGGGGCGGATAGTGCTATGCCCATCCCCGCCCCATCCCCGTTCCGGGTAAGATACTTGAACTCCATCCCGATCCGTTACCCGCTAGGGCGGGGAATCCCCGAACCGTTCGGGTCGGGTATCCGCAGGTATTGGGGAATCTCTGATCCGTTTGCATCCCTAGTCTGGATGCTTCCCACCGCCTCTCCAAAACATATGTACTGATTCACATCCGTTCTATCACTAATCGTGATCTTGGTACCAGATCGACCACCTATGTATTCGCTTAGGCTTGATGTCTGGCTCCCGATGGATTTGTAGGGCAAATTCATACAGGTGCTTCCATGGTGAAGGGTCGGCGCCAGCGACAATCAAAATCGGCGTCTGGGTATTGCTCGAGACTGTTTTTATCTAGGGTTTCATGTCCTGAGATTATCGATTTTACACTCGATTCTTACATCAGTATGTGATGGAGGTGTTGACGACGGTGACAACCATGATCGATGGAGTTCCCAGCGACGATTCTTTGTCGGCCGCCAACAACGTCGTGTTAAACCTAAACAGTAAATTTGTCTTCAGTCACACGTATGCCTAAATTGGAGACGAACGTTGGCCAAGGAGAAGGAAGAATTTTTGTAGCTATTCCAGGTGAAGGAGGCACCGTTGATAACGACGTATCTCCGGTAAATATTCTTTCATCTTCTCAGTCATGCGTTTCTTTCTACTATGATATTCTGATTTTACCCGATCGTTCCATCAAACCATCTCCCATCGATTCTGAGTTGAAAACATCACTAAACTTTTCAGGTATTTTTTTTAGTTTTTCCATAAAAATACCTTCACTATAAGTTTCACAGGTATCATCATTTTTTGATCTAATTGTTGTATGTGAATCATGATACATTTTTGGGAAATATGATACAAATTAAGGATTGTGATCCAAAATTTTGATTACAGAAAGTGAGATCTGCTTTGACTTTATAGTTTTACCAATCATTGTGCTTCTTGTGACAAGGTAACATGATAGGATATATGCTAAACCGACTCGGTATGTATGTTTTCATCAAATTTTCTGTTATCTATACATAATTAACTAAATATTTCATTATATTTTGCAGCTTCCTTCTTGCATATGCACATCCACCTTATGAATGCTAAAAAATGTCATGACAAAAATGAATTGGACTTGGAACTGTTTTGCTTTCATGGTTTACATGACTGGTATTCATTCACATGGTGATATTAGAGGTGAACCTTATACAAGCACAAAGTCTGACTAATAAAGATCTTATTGACAAATCTGATCCATTTGTTAAATTGTATACATGCAATTTGCATAGTATGATGCAAATCAACAAAGTTATTGTAAGTTCTCTTCTTTCTTCCATGTATCACCATGTTTGCAAAGAAAAGAACAAAGCTGTTTTACTCAGGCCAATCATTTGAATCCAATTTGGAATGATAGTTTTGACTTTGTTGTTGAGGAAGCTTTATTTCGCTTAGAAGATCCAAAGATCCAGAAGTGATGAAAAGTCACTTCGACTAAATGTCAGAAGTACCCCTGGTCGATTGATGTGATGTTGTGTATAAACATGTTTCATATAGTTAGAAATATATACTATATGCACACCACATAGCTTAGATTTTATCATTTATCATTTTAAATAAATTGTTTTAAACGTTAAAAAAAATAAATACCTTGAAATGTCTTCGAAGGTCTTCATCAATGTTCCCTGGTGGTATTTAGCTTTCTATACAATGATGAGTCCATTCATTACTGAAAGAACTAAGAGCAAATCCGTATTTGCAAGCCCTACAAGAACTTCCAAAACACTTTTCATGTACGGTTTTACCCTTTTCGTTTCTGTAAATATTTCACTACAAGATTATAAAAAACTCATATTTTTATATTTTTCATTTAGATACGTCACTCCAAAACATGTTCCAAATCAACATCGTGGATTAACTGTACATTAGTGTGATTGCAGTTCTGAATTCACCATTGATGATCCGGTTGCTGTTGTTACTGTAAACCCGTGCACCAAACAAACCATGGAGATTATCATAAACTACGTAAAATTACGATTTAAACCTTTGAAAAATACCATGTTTACTCTTACTAAAATGAATTTTTTTGTTGCGGAGATGTAGTTTTGTTGAAATTTTGGATGCAACTTTCTTACTTATTTATATAGCCAGTTCAGAGAAGGTCTCTCGGTAAGTTTCCATCCTTGTATACGTGTGTATAAATGAGTAGATATTGTTGTTAAAGTGCCAATTTATACATCAACATTTTAGTGCTTATGAAGCTGAAAAATCTAATATTTTGGATGTCGGTTTCCCACTGCAAAAGAAGGATGTATTCGCTGTTCTTTGGATGTTTCTTTTCAACAGTTAATACTTAGATCTAGGTATTTGTAAATAGACTATAATATTATTCTTTTTTCCTTCTCATTCCCGTTTTCACATATATTGATTGTTTGCTTACATGGTTCTCAGGTCATGTAACATAAGCATTGTGTTATTCAAATATGGAGTATGTATTTTGTTTTTTACTCATAATAATGAAAATGCCCTCATCTAAATACACATGGGGAATGTTAATGACTGTTTTGGGGACATAATGAACACCATAAGCACAATTTTGCGAATTTTTGTCTTAAATATTTGTTACCTTACTAAGCGTATCATTTACCTTTAATTTGCTACTGAGTAGGGGTCTGGAAATTGATTGTGTCACCAACAATAAAAAATTGACAATCAGAACAAAACGAGTGGTAGTTGTTCGAGCCCAAATTTCAGCCGCTTTTTAGTCTCCTGCTTACCTCACTCTTTTTATGTTGCCATGTATGATTGGATTATGAACTTATAATAATTGTTTCTTATTGTTACAGGTGAAAGAAATTGGAAAATAGAGATCCACAAAGTGCTCCACTTCTGCTAATAAAGCTTCAAGAGATGGAGAAGATGATAACTAATCAGCAGACGAAGAAGATATCAGATAAATTATGGTTAAGGTTTATCCAGGCACATACTGGTCATTTTCTGTGAGTTTCTTAATTAAACTTTTCCTAATAAACCATTATGCTTTTAAAAAATTGTTTTTAATCTGGCTGTGTGTGGTTATTGTGTTTATGTGTGTGTATTTATATTCATATTTATTATTTACTATTAAAATAATTTTTTAAGCATAATATGTGTTAACCAAAAGTTGGTTATGGTGTTGGGTTTGCCCTTTCATACTATGATTTTACACACGATACAACAAAAACGTAAGATAGTCAACTAATAATTGCCAAAATAACTCAACCAAGAAACACTACCTGATGACAGGGCTTATGCGAATTTTAATTGTACATCCACCTTAGATAAAATGTGATGACCATTGACCAATGAAGTAGTCAATTACTTTCACTTTCAGCCAATGGTTGTTTCCAATGTTGGTTCAACTGGAAAACAAGTGACACAGGCTTAGTTTTGAACTGATATTTTACCAATTTGAATTTGGGAGGTTCATTTAGTGCCTTCAAATTGGAATCCTACCAAGTTGATTCTATAGAAGAAGTAAATTGTAAATTTTATATGGATTATATAAAATTTAGAATTTTAACTTAGGGTCATTTTATGTATTTGATTTTGAAGATGGCTTGATTGATTTAATTATCAAAAGACGAAAACTATGGTCAAAACCGAACCCCGCGGAGCGGGGTTTCTCACCTAGTTATTATTATTATTATTATAATAATAATAAGATAAAAAGAATGTTTCCTTATGAACAGTGCACCAAGGGTGCTGTTCATCGGGTTACCACATAGGTTAACTCCACCACTTTTTTGTCGGTCCTTCTTCGCTATCTTCGACTCAATTTTCCTCCACAGCTTTCACACACCATTCCTCTAGAACCCTTTCTCTTAACAATCCCCCTTATATGTTCTCCTAACAACCCTAATCATCCCCTGTTACGACCATTACAATCGATCCAATTCATCAGCTTCTGAAGATCTCCTGTGACTTTTCCACCCTCGCTTTCTTGCGGCTTGGTGGCTAAAGGGGGTGAGTCAACGACTCTTCTGTCTACAAGGCGACATGTTCTTCTCTTGATCCACTGATTTCCTACTCCCAAGGCGGTGTTGCAGACTCAGTTCAATTGTATTCCTTTTCTGAGCGATCTCCACATCTTTCTAGAAATCGATTTATAAAAGTCGCATGTCGTCTCCATTGGGCTACCCAACACCGTCCTCCTCCTATTTTGCCCCTCCGCCAACGACACCCACCTCCACCGCCGCTCTCCATCAGCATCCCCCTTGGTAAGTTTCTCTTTTGATTGTCCCCCAGTACTTTTACGTGTAGTTATCTTGTCCTTCTTCACTGATTCTTGTGTGTTGCTTCTTGTTTGTCTGCTTTCCTAGAAAAAGCCCTTAATGCCACCGCCTTATACACCGTCGCTATGGTGCACCCGGTTATTACAGACTCATCTCAAGTTTTGTTTCTATTATATATTTGATGACAAGCAAGTGGTGGTGCACGAACAATTTTAATAGCAACGACGTTTGTGTATCCTTATGGGGAAGAAGTGTATACTTAAGCGCTTCAGTTGCAGAGTAAGATCAATCTTAATTTTTGGTTTCCAACGTTGCACGCCAAGTGTTTGTGATATTGCCTCAATGAACACCCCTAAACTTTCTTTGATCGGTGTCATGTTCATTTTATGAAGGTGGTCTGACTGTTGACTGATGACCCCTGTTGAGGGATAACATACTGTGTTTCAAACCATATGCACCTTACCAAATGCTTATCATCAGGTTAGTAATGCCTAATTCAAACGAATCAACTTGCAATGGCTTTTCCATTATCATCCAATTCTCTTGCATAATCAGTGTCTGTATAATTTCTCTTTTCTTTTACAATCTCCAAAGTTCAAAATTACCTTTTATGTACAACTTCAACAATCTGTTCTTGGTCCCACTTCTGGTCAAAGATTCTTTCTACTTGGTTGCTCTGTTTTCTTTTTACATTTTTTTGATAGCTTAAGTTCTTCCATAGTTCCATTTTAGGTCAACTGATCATTACCATATAATTGTTTTATGATGTCAATTAGTTGATTATCACGTTCAAAACTAATATACATCATAAAAGTTTGATCAGATTGTGTGTATTATTCTTGACAAAAAGTTTGATATTCAACTTAAAGGTGCTTATTTTTGTTGAACATCAACAAAATATGTAGTTTCTTGGTTTTGCCTCTATTTGTTCCACCTCATGAGTACATATTTTTCCAAGTATTCTACATCTTTATTGGCATTCCTACCATTGTTGGATGCTCTTCTATGGGAAAAGGTTACTTCATCAGCACTAATTCACAGTCCTTTCTAATCATACTTTATAACTATCCCAATGTTAACTATATAACTTTTTATAAATCAAGTTGGTGGATTTTCTTCTTTAATTACAGTCAGTATTGTGTCCAACTAAATCTGATTTTACCTCACGTCTTCTGTAAATTTGAATGCATTTTCTTGAAACCTAAGCCAGTCACCTTTTTTCGTATACATTCATTCTATATTGAAGTGATTACATAAACATGTCATTACAAGGAACATAACACACTTACACATTTTCTTGAGGCATCTGTTTGTATAAGTTATATATAGTGGGCTGTGACTATGATTCAGAACCATCTTATTTAACTTGTCTGCTTTTAAATTTCAGTTTATGTGCATATTAATACTAAAAAATGAAAGAATACACTTTTCTTTGTATTTCCCGAATGTCCAATTTTTGGTATGTGCTACTATGTGCAGTTCTATTCTTCAAAGAAGTAACATAAGTTTGTATCACCTCTTTTCAAATCAGGGATATTTGAACAACAACCAAAACTTTCATTATGGATATTACATTTCATTTGAAGGATGTTGACCAATGTTTACTATGCCTACAGCAACACCATTTAGTTGATGGTGCTGATGAGTTTCTCAACTCTGAAAATGATAAGAATGATTATTATTGGTAATATTCGTATTACATGGTATAAATTTGGATAAAGATGATATGATTATGTATTTGTGTTATTGTTTACTGAAAATTGTTACATGTTTTCAGACTTTTAACACCATCTTGGTCCGTTATTTGGTATTTGTTGAATGTTTATTTATTGATGAATTATGCTTATAACAACCCCATGACAAAATCCAATTAAAAAACTCCTGATCCATGCAAAAGCATGGGTCACTTCACTAGTTATCGTTATCATTATTATTATTATTATTATTATTATTATTATTATTATTATTATTAAAACATCTAGATACATATATAAACGTTTTTAAACATATGTAAACATATATAAAATATATTTTATACATGTTTAAATGTATTTTAAAAAAAATTATTGTATCGTTTTTTATACAATACGTATTAAATGTACAAAATAATTATAAATAAATTTAAGTACATATGAAACATTCTGTAAACATATTTATATATGTATACATATTTATATGTATAAAAATATCAAAAAAAAATATTTTTATACATATAAAAACATATAACAAATGTTTTTAGACAAAGTAAACATATTTAGCGTATTTATTTATATAAGTTACGTAATAAAACATTTTTATCCGTATTTATACATATAAATAACATATTTAAAAATGAAAAAGTGTATATTTCCACCCACTCTTATATGTACTTTTAAATATGTTTTATATGTGTACATACGATTTTAGATGCTTAAATATATTTAAAATCGTTTTTATATATTTTTTTATTTGTATATTCAGTTTTAGATATGTATATATGATTTATATGTGTGTATATATGATTTTATATGTGTATATACAATTTTAGATGTGTTTATACAATTTATATTTGTTTATACGTATAAAAATACCTTTTTATAATTTTCTATATACAGATATGTATACAAAATGTTTTAGGGAAATTGAGTAATCTAACCTTATTTGTTGGGTGTTTTTTTATAAATATAACTTTTTTAATTGACCATTTATTTCGGAATGGGACACTTCGGAACATATTTCAGACAAATTTTCGGGTGGGCCGGCCCATTATCGTGGGTCTGGAATTGCCATTCTGGACTATCCGTTCGAGTTCTGGATCGAAAATTTGAATTTCAAATTCCAGAATATAATTTGAAAAATTCTGGACCTTCGCCTTTATTTCGGATCTTGCTCCAACTTCTGATTCCGATTCTGATACACGATTTCGAATCTTTCGACTTTAGATTACGATCGTCATTCTGATCTCCGACACGCATGTACGATCTCCGGCACACAACTCCGCCATGGAAGAAGAGTAGTACGACCTCGTTATTTTACGATTACGTTCTTCTTTTTCTCTTTACACATTTTCTTGTTTGTTTAAGGTGCTTATTCTTCTACTCTTACTGCTCCGGAATTCGTAGAACACCTCCGGAATGAACTAAAAAAGTTATGGAGTTTAAATTAAAGATGTCATTGTTATAGGACCAACTGAAAAGTAGTTTAGATGTTTCGGTATTGTTGATTTACATCGAAATTTCATGTTCCAGGTCTTAAAAGTTCATTCCGGAAGCCTCCGGAACGCGATGAACTGTTCCGAAACACGATGAACTCGTCCGGAACATGAGGAACATGTCCGAAATATTGGTCATTTCCGTTTTGGAATAAAGAGATAACACCTTTTTTATTTGTGCATCACGACATGGTTTTTGATGCATCAATTACACTCTCGTGTAAACCCAAAATCAGCGGGCAAATTCTTGCGTCATTTAGAGACAGACCCAAATGCGAGACTATATTCTGGAATACATGTTTTGGGAGGTGGTTAGACATTCCTAATGTAGATGAGGATCCTTTGATTCTACATTACGTCTTTTGCCACAAATTTGGCACCAACCCCCGAAGCCAAGTAGAGGAAATGGTTTTTGAGATTAGCAGTTACGAGTTGTGTTTCGGGAAGAAATAATTTTGTCTCATCACTGGCTTCCAGTTTGGTGACTATTTTCCTACTTCTGCATCCGGCGTCGCCTTCTGTTCCCGTGCCTTTCCTTTGGCCCCAAAGAATGTCTCTATCAAATTAGACGATGTTATGACGGTGTTTAAACATTCACTTAATGAGTTATCGGACGAGGATGTAGTCCTTGCATGTCTTCTATACCTGTTAGAGAAGGGTTTCAATGGGGGGGGGGGGGGGGGGATGCCTAAACAGCCTGTTACAGAAGAGTATTTTGCTTTGCTATCCAACCTTGATGAATTCAACATGTATAATGTCGTCTATTTTATAATTACTGATTATTATTACTTATCGTTACTAATATTTTTTAGAAATATAATTGTTAACTACTTTTTTATGTGGCAGATATCTATGGGGGATGATAATTTGGGATCAATTGTACAAATAGTTATTTACTGTATTCAATAAGGTTGACAAACTTATACATCTAGACGAACTGAAAGAGAAACAACCTCAAAAAATGACCTACACCCTTAACGAGTTTTTATACGCTTTTAAGGTATGTATATGATGAAAAATTTATTACTTTTTTTGTTTGCTAAGATTCTAACAATTTATTTGTTTGCTAACATTTAAATATGGATTCTTGAGACTTTTCCAGTGAGTAGTTTATTTGGTACCTGACAACAGAATGTGATGCCTCGGGCTATTGCATGGTCAAAATAAAGGGCTTTTAAAAAGCCTGAATGTAACCAGTTTTTACAAATCAATGACGTATGGTTACTCTATTATTTAAACATTTATTTATTTTATAATTTATGTTTATTTATAATTCTATAATTTTGTTAGCATGATAATAGACTCGTATAGAAGTTGGAGCCGACAAAAGATGAGATGCGTGGGGAATGGTGGATAGTTAGCTCGGCGTGGATTGATGGCCTTGATTTTCCCGACACTAAAGTTGAAAGGGCACCTTCCCTAACACCATCAACCAAAAACTCTTGTACCCATGAGCCTCGACAAAAGAATGCATTGATAGATAATCCATCTCACCTGCCACCCTACCACCGCCGGTCGCTGAACCATCAACTGACAAGGACCAAATTATTAGTGACTTACAAAATGAGGTCCGTCAATTGAAAAATGAGCTCAGTGAATGTTGCGAGCAGTTGAGGTCACATGATCAGCGTTTAAACAGAGCATGACGCTACTTTATCCATGGTTCTAAAACTTATCAATAAGACTCCCGTAGACGATTTTGGTAACGCAAAGTACAATGACAATGAATTATTGGACCACGATTACGGGTCAGGCACACTCGAAAACCCACCACATGACGACCATGAGCAGTCGTCTCCATTTATTCATTCGTCGGATGTGAAAGGGATTCCACGGGATGAATACAAAACGCCCCCGCAAGCACTTCGGCGTTCTATGCGGCAAAAAGTAATGTCCATATGGTATAAATGTAACACCCGTTTTCCAAAGAAGGTTGGACAAGACTTAAAGAATCAAATAAGGTTTCGACGTGGGGCATGGATGCTCACGACATGGCATGGGGATTTATATAACACGTGTTTTTGGAGATTCCATGACGTGGCATAAAGTGGCCACGCCGTGGTAGCCCTGCAGCTCATATCCGAGATTTTTAGGGTTTCCCTCATATATAAACACCTTACCCCCTGTTCTAGTTCATCTCCTTCAGTCCCCATCTCCCCAATCCGAAACCCTAACCTCATTTCCTTAATTTTGAGCTTGGTGGCTCTATCTTAAGGTTGTTTGCTTCATTTGGTGAAACTTAGAGAATAATGTAGTTCATTTTGGTGCAAGGAAGCAAGGAGAAAGTTTGGATCCAATTATGAGCCCATTTATGGACGTTTTGGTCCCATTCTTGGAGGTAAAAAGTGATAGGTTTTATATGTTAAAATAACTAATTTTTTGGCGGAAAAACATAAACTCTAAGTTCACATGCACCCTAAAGGATCTATGTTCTCACTATGATTTGCAAACAACTATTGAATATCAAGAACCTTAGAACTACAATGTTATTTTCGAAAAATACTAAAAAGGTTATTAGAAAATACATACCTTATGTTTATTATAGTAAATAAACAATGATTCCTTCTTGATCTAGCTTTAGAAAGCAAGCACCAGAAGTCTTGTGCCTCTAATGGCTCACACCCAAACCCTAGCAAATTGGAGGCTAAAGAGGAAAGAGGAGGAGGAAGAGAATTTTCAAAATTCTCTTTGGAATGAGGTGCATTTCGAAATTAATAATCCAAGGGGGTTTATATAGGTGATATGGAGGCTAAGGATAAGACATGTTTCCTTAGATAAGCCATTATCCCTTTTCTTGCTCCCTAAGGCATTTCATGCTTCCTTAGAGCCCAAAAGTACCTCTAGAAACCCTCTAGAAACCCTGTAACCATCTAGAATTTTGTTCCCTTCCTAGGAAGGTTCTAGAATTGGTCAAAGTTCCACTTTTGAACATTATCACTTTTAGTCCTTCCACTTTTAATTAATCCAATTAATCCCAAAATTAATTCCAATTAATTTCTGATTAAATTTAAATTAAACAATACAATTTCTAATTAATATATTATTCTCATAATATATTACTAAATCATTTAATTTGATTTCTAATTAATTTATTAATCATATAATAAATTAATAAATTAGTCTCTCTCTCCAAAAAGCATTCCAATCAATTACTAGGTTTGAGGGCAACCCAAAAGGACTTTGCTAATAATTCAAGATTATACTAATTTAGCTATTAGTTTAGACACCTAATCCAATAGTCTCCCACTTGGATAAGTCTAAAACTAAATTATAGGTATAACTTCTAAATTAAGCATCAGAGGGTTCTTTCCAAAGCAACTGCCGAACTCTGATCTGATCAGATATTTGTCCTTTAGATAAGTGATCAAATATTCCTCTGTTCTTCTAGATATCATATGGATTTGAGACATGGATTGAAATCAATCTCATTGTCCAAAATTTTGTTTCTTGATTTCCTGATGTTGACATCAAATCATCGAGGGGCCTAAAGATATCGCTTTTCCCGTTAGGGAAAAAGGAACGAATAATTTCGACTCAT